TTGATAGAGAATGAAGCAGCTAAAAGAGCAATGGTAGATTGAATGGCAGTAGGATCACTTCCTGTGATGATTATAAATCATCAACATATGCTAAGATGAATGTTGATGATGTTGAAGTGTGCTTGAAATATAATGAAGTGTCAGCTTTAGGGATGGAGAATCCAATGGATAAAAGGGTTGCACTGAAAGTAGAGGTCCATGCTCGAGATGCTTGTTTTAAGCCATAAAGCGACTTGTGAAGCTTGCAAACAAGACCTTTGTCAGAATCCACTTCAAATCCTGGAGGTTGCTGCATGTAGATGTCTCTATCTCAAGTGCCATTCAAAAATGCATAGTCGACATCAATCTGTTTAAGTTCCCAACCAAGAGAAGTGGCAATGGGGAGTACAATTCTAATGGTAGTTGGCTTAACTACAGAACTGAAAGTCTCTGCATAATCAATCCCAGCTTCTTGGGTGTAGCCTTTGGCTACAAGCCTTGCATTGTACCTGGAAATGGTACCATCAGGGTTTGTTTTAAGTTTATAAACCCATTTGCAGCCAACAATATTCTGATCAGATGGTGGGGCTACCAAAGTCCATGTGTTGTTTCTTTTTAGAGCATTGAACTCTTCTTTCATGGCTGTAGTCCATTCAGGTTTAGTGAAGGCCTCAGAGTGAGATGATGGTTCTTTGCAATCTGAGATGGTGGCAGAAAGTACTTTGGGCTTAAAAATACCAGCTTTAGATCTGGTAACCATTGTATGAGTACCTGCAATATGAGAGTTAGGTGCAGCAGGTTGTTCTATTAGTAAGTCTATGATAATTTGCCCAATGGGAATAGCAGAAGGGGATTGATATGGTGAAGGTAATGATTGAGTTGACTGGTGACTGGAGCGTGTAGAAGAAGAGCTGTGAGAGTGGCTTTGAGATGTCTTGGGTGATGAGTGAGGTGAATGAGGGGGTGTGTTGTTAATAGGACAATTTTGTGGTTGCTGAAGAGTATTATTTGTTGGAGAGGTATCAAAAGATATAGAGTGAAAAATAAGAGCTGAGACTAAAGAGGGTTGAGAGGGTGTTGGCATGGACTTGTTGTCTTTTGTTGTATGATGAAGAGGAAAGACATGTTCATCAAAAAGGACATGCCTGGAGATGATCACTTTCTTATTGGGCAGCATGACTTTGTAACCTTTGATTTGGGATGTACCCAATGAAGACTGATGGCAAACTCTTTGGTTGAAACTTGTGTTTGTTATAGGGTTTTAAATGAGGGTAACAAAGGCAGCCAAAACTTTTCAAGAATTTATAATCCGGAGTCTGATTGTATAAGGCTTGAAAGGGTGATTTGTTTTGTAAAAGTTTATTAGGTGTCCTGTTAATAAGGTAAGAGGCTGTAGAAAAAGCTTCGTCCCAGTAGTATAAAGGGATGTTAGACTGTGAAATCAAAGATAAGGCTACTTGAACAATATGCCTATGCTTTCTCTCAGCTAGGCCATTTTGTTTAGGTGTGTGTGGGCAAGAATTCTAGATATAATTCCCATGTCTGAAAATAAAGACTTGAGGGACTGAAACTCACCACCACCATCACATTGGAAGGTTTTTATAGTGGTGTGAAATTGGTTTTGGATTAAAGCTGTGAAGTGAAGAAAGACTTTTTTAGTGTCAGATTTTGCTTTGAGATTGTATAGCCAAATAAACCTGGTGTTGTGGTCAATGAAGCTTACATAATACTTAAAACCCTTAGAAGATGTGATGGGAGCTGGCCCTCTAAGTGTATTAGATCAAAAGGTTTATAAGCATCATGAACAGAATCAGTAAATGGCAGTTTATGAAATTTTGATTGCATACACACATCACAAAATGCATTTCTTTTATTCTCAAGAAAGGAAATACTTCCATTGTTCAAAGCAGCTTTAACAAGGTCATAAGAAGGGTGGCCAAGTATTTGGTGCCAAATACTAAGATCAACAATGTTCTGAGAGACAGAATTACAAACTGGTTTGGAAACAATAAGAAAAACATGTAAAGGATTCTGCATGTGGTCTGGAACTGAGGTGAGCTTGAAACAATAAAGGCCATCTTTAAGTGCTCCTTGAAGAAGAGGTGCACCAGTCTTGAGATCCTTCACAAAACATAAGGATGGATAGAATTCAAAAAAGACATTGTTATCTTTTGCAAACCGAGAGACACTAAGGAGGTTTTTAGTTATTTCAGGTACATGCATGAGAGTGTTAAGGAGAAATGCATGTGAATGAGTAGAATTTGGGCATTTTAACATAGCATTACCAACATGAGCAATGTGCATACCTATTCCATTTGATGCTTAAACTTTCTCACTTCTTTGATAGTCACTGGCTAGGTTCAAGTTGTTGAGGTCATTTGTGATGTGATGAGTGGCTCCTGAATCTGGGAACCAGTAAAAGTCTTGGCCTGCTGTGTCATTGGAGCTGCTAACACTTGCAACATGAGCTGAGAGACCAGTGTTGGTAGAAGGATTTGAGGCTCCTGCTCCATTTTGATTTCTGGCAACAAAGTTTGCATCAAATCTGAAATAGCATTCTTTTGTTGTAGGATTGTTGTAGTTACAGATTTGGCACCTTGCCCTGCCTTGTCCATGGAATGTCCTTCCACCACGGCATCTGTAATTACCAGCTCTTCCTCGGCCTCTAACAGCAGTGAATTGATTGCCTGATCTGCCTCTTGAAGAATTAAAACCTCGACCTTTAGGCTGGAAATTTGCCAAATTGGCAGCCAAAAAAGGAGCTTCTGTTTCAGTGAAGATTTCTTGGCTTTCTAGCTTGCTCTCAAACTTAAGAGAACTGAGTAGGCTTCCATCATAGTGCATTCTTCAGCTCTTGAAGTTAAGCTAACCACCACTGGGTTATATTCTTGGCCAAGCCCAGTAAAAGGTGAAGGACTTGATCATTTTTAGAAAGCTTGTACCCAACTGCTCCTAGCATATCAATAACTCCTTTGATTTTGGTGAAGAACTCTTTGATTTTCAGATTTCCTTTCTCAATTGTTTGTAGCTCTAGCTTGAGTTGCATCTGTCTTGCTAGACTATGACTAGCAAAGCTCCTTTTCAAGCAATTCCAGATCTCCTTAGAATTATTGAGGCCAACAGTGGTAACCAAGATGTTTTCTGAAAGAGAAGATAGTAGCCAAGAAGCCACCAGTTGATCTTGTTTCACCCAGTGAAGATAAACTTTGTTGACAATGGTTTCACCAGTAGTAGGGTCTTGTGTTAGCTTGTCGGGTGCACGGGTATCTCCTGTGAGAAAACCAAACAAATCATGGCCTCTGATAGTTGTTAAGATCTGCTGCTCCCAAACCAAGAAATTGGTTTCATTGAGCTTTGTGGTGATTTGCTGATTTTGTAGCTGCACGATAGGGTCAAGCTGTGGGACAGTAGCCATTTTGAAAAGAGCTTAAAAAAAGGGTTAAAGAAAAGAGGCAAATCAGAAAGCTGGCTCTGATGCCATAATAGAAAATGCAAGCACGTGATGTACAGGATCAAAAACAAACTCCATATTAGGTAAACTCATTTTGTTCTTTTTGCATTCAGCTTTCTTGTTCTTTCATTTTCTTCATTTGTATTCAAAGTTTTCATACTACATCTCAATTCCTCTTACTATACTATATAAGAGGCGGCTGGTTAACAACAACCTATAGGGTTCATGGACACTTGGGATGATCTAGGCCACACATCTAACTTATCATTAACCCTAGGGTTACACTTTTGGATCCTTGCTAGGTGACAGCTAGGTCGGCCATTATCCTTGTACTGTTGGTGACACTTGGGCAGGTGCTCCTTGTCTTCATGCACGTCCAACTCATCCATGCACATGCTGACGTGGCTCTGTTGACCATGAGTCAAGGTCTTAACATATTGTTCTCGAGACATTGTTTTTTCGTGGAAGCACTAGTGACATTATCTTTTGCAAGGTGAAAGTGCCTCAAGACATTATCTTTTGTATGCTTGATAAGTTTTCCGTTAGATTTTATTTGTTTTTTTTTTTAGCTTTATCGAGAGGTTGTAATATTTTATGAATTGTAATTTTATTTTTTTTATAAAAAGAATGTTGGAATATTAGCTTTGTCAAGACATTATCTTTTGTACTCATGATAAGTTTTTTATTAGATTTTTATTTATTTTTAGCTTTGTTGAGAGGTTGAAATATTTTAAAAATTGTAATTTTATTTTTTTAACAACAGAAATGTTGGATCGTTGTTGGTATTATTTTTTTTCTGCACGAGTACGATTTGGTGTCACTCGCGGGCGAGCCGAACATTAAAGGGTCCCTTCAAACTCTGTCTGACTATTAAAAAAAAAGTACTTGAGGCATTATTTCTTATATGTGGCCCAGGGCCTCAAAATTAATAGGACCGGCTCTACTCAGAACACCGCCTTCTTGCAGTATATCATAATCGAAGGTTGGCCTTCTTGCAGTATATCATAATCGAAGGTTGGCAACAATCGTCTGGTACACTAATCAAACAGCTTTACTTTCTTATGCAATTCCTTAATTTTCCTTTTTCAGATCGAAGAATCCTTTGTAACTAAAACAAGAAAGCCGACTGGGCAACTTTAAAGATATACTTACCCAAGTGAATAAAGTGTTGCCGACAATTAACTAATTTATATAAATGTACCAAAGCTGCTACAAGCCTACAATCATAAAAATCCCATCTGAATTACAAGTCATTAGTTTCATTCTGTGTCCCATAACGTACTACCTTCTTACTTTAATGCTAATTCGTAAGTCGCACTACTGCAATTTGCTCAAAAAGAGTAAAAAAAGAAGAGGGAAAAGTTCATTTTTAGCAAATCATTTTCTAAGAAACAAAAAGATACACAACTAAACAAAACCACTCAACAATCTCAACAAAAGATTACATTCCCAAGACACTCTGTCGACAGATAACTATCATCATCAATAATCTAAAAATTTGAAAAAAGCAAAAATACTCAAGTACTAAACAAAGGGGCTACAAAAC